ACAGACAGACACACACACACACACACACACACACACACACACACACACACACACACAGAATTAGAATTAGAGCAGAATAATTGTTCAAACAATAAGATGTAAGATGTCTGAGCCTGAGCTTATTTAACATTTATATTAATCAGCTGAGCTGCTGCACTGAATGAAATACCAAAAATTAAATCATGATCATTAGTAATACGTACATGCAACGCCTAAAATGAACGCTTGCCAAGCGCCACATTCAAGTAAAAATCAGCAGTTGGCCAGTAACTTTTTAAAATAATTCTAAAACATTCGTTCTTTTGACGTGAGCCGCTCATGATAACAGTGTAAATGCTGCTCCGCACAAACTACATCTCTGTCACTTAGAACTGAAAATGCAGCATGCGCCAGACATCTTCCCCAGGTTTATAAATCTGTTTGAAAAGAGGAGTTTTCCAGCAGAATAAAAGCTTTATTGCTTAAAGGAGACATCAGGGGCCCACTCTCCACAAGTTATGATTCTCTGGGGTCTTCATGAGATGTTTGTCATCAGAAATATTTTGGTTAAAATTGTTCATTTATTATTATTCAGCAATTTAGTGTTATACCAAACTGATGTACAACAACATCCCATCCTCGTTCTCTCTTATTCACACAGACAAAACCGTTCATGAAAGCCACAATCATGAGACCATATGAAGATAAGATCATGTGAAATATAGAAGCATAATACAAATAATAAGTGAATGAATGATAAAACAATTAAGATGATATAACTGATCAAATAATCAAATGATAAGTTATATAAATGTCTAATGACTAATGATTATATAATGATATGAATAAATGATAAAAACACAACACAAAGGTCTGGTTTCTTCAGTCAGAGAGACTTGGTTTCTGTAAACAGAGACACATGCTATTGTTTGTGTCAAATATTCACACTGTTGATATTTGAAGAAACCTCTTGGTGCGTCAAGTTTTGTTTTCTTTCTTTCAGGGAAATCAATTTAATATATTTTTGATCAATAATATTTTTTGATTATTATTTAGAATTTTACGATACAAATATAAAGTGTGGCTCATAAAAACGGTATAATTGTTTCAAAGTATCATAAAATCCACATTCACAATAATAGTAAAAAATATATATTATTGAACAGAAATATATATATAACAAAAATCTAAAACCCCCACACATTTCAAGAACCAAGCGTGACCCAAAAATGAAGATTCATTCTAATGAAAAGAAGGGCTCATAAAAACTGTATAAATATTGCATAGTATCATAAAATCCCCTCAAAATTCTCAGTAATTATCAGAAAATATTATTAAACAAAAATATATTACATAAATTTTCCTAAAAAAAGAAAAAGAAAAAAAGTACCAAGTGTGACCCAAAAATAAAGAGGCTCAGATCTGAATTAATTTTAATAGAAAAATAGTTCAAATAAATTGTATAAATATTTAATAGTATCATAAAATCTCCTCAAAATTCCAAATAATAATTAGAAAATATTATTGAACAAAAATACATGACATTGATTTTCCTCAGGGGGAAAAAAAAATAAAATAATAAATAAACAAATAAACTTACATTTCAAGGAGCAAGTGTGACCCAAAAATAAAGAGGCTCAGATCTGAATTCATTTTAATAGAAAAATCGTTCAAATAAATTGTATAAATATTTAATAGTATCATAATATCTCCTCAAAATTCTCAATAATAATCAGAAAATATTATTGAACAAAAATATATTACATTGATTTTCCTTAATATATATATATTTTTTTTTTTTTCAAGTACCAAGCTTGACCCAAAAATAGAGGCTCAGATCTGAATTCATTTTAATAGAAAAATCGTTCAAATAAATTGTATAAATATTTAATAGTATCATAAAATCCCCTCAAAATTTCAAATAATGATTAAAAAATATTATTGATCAAAAATACATGACATTGATTTACCTCAGGGGAAAAAAAAAATAAATTTAAAAAACTTACATTTCAAGTACCAAGTGTGACCCAAAAATAAAGAGGCTCAGATCTGAATTAATTTTAATAGAAAAATAGTTCAAATAAATTGTATAAATATTTAATAGTATCATAAAATCTCCTCAAAATTCCAAATAATAATTAGAAAATATTATTGAACAAAAATACATGACATGTGAGTGATGTGAAACAGCTGTGTGCAATCAGTGAAAACAGCTGTGTGCAATCCGTGCTGAGTGCAATCAGTGCAATGAATGATGGGATATGTAGTCCAGGGTGCTATGCAACAGTTTGTGTTGTGCGAGAGTCAATGTAATGGAAAGGGTGACCTCTGGTGGTGAATAAACGGAAGTCCATGGACCGAATTCGTGACACCCTTTCCACCCTTTGGAAATGTTTACAAATTTGTGGCACCCTACAAAATTAATTTGGTCACAATATTTGAATTTCTAACTTCGATATATGATCATTTGAAAAGTATAGATATTCGGTACAACAGGGAAGAACTGCAGAATATAATGTCATACAGATATTTTTAATATTATAAAAAACCAGTAGGCCAATTTCTAATGAAGAGACCAATTTATATGACAGATTTTAATGTAGGCTTTTATTCATATGTAAACATTGTGAGATAGTTATAATGGTAATTAAACAAAGTTTTGCACACTCAGTGTATTTTTGTAGGGCTATTAAGAGATTTTTTCCACATTTCGTCTCGTTTTTATTTGTCAACGATATTGCATTGTACATTTAATTATAGTCATCGCCACATGACCAGCATTTACGTCTCGTCTCGTCTCGTTTTCGTCACATGATAAATGTTCGTTGATGACTATATTTTGTCATAATTTTCGTTGACGAAAGCAACACTAGTTGCTAGAGTGAAGAACATTTTAATAATCTAAAGAACCTTTTTCCACTATAAAGAACCTTTTGTGGAATGAAAAGTTTCCATGGATGGTAAAGGTTCTTTGTGGAACCACTGATGCCAATAAAGAAGCTTTGTTTTTAAAAATGTGTAAAGAACTCAGTGTTTTTTTTTTTTTGGTAAGCACTAAACAATAAATGTCAATTTACCAGAATAATGTCTAATATTAGGTTTAAGGTTTTTTTTATTTTATTTTAAAATCAACATTCATTTTAGATAATATTAGACTTCAAAGCAACTTACAATGCAATAATGTAAACATGTTATCAATTCTTGCATTCTCTGGAGATTGAACCCAGGGTCTCGGAGTTATCACAAAACACAAATATACAATAAAATATGACTGATATTTATATATATATATATATATATATAGGCACATCAAACATAACTCCTTCAAAAACAGCCAGAGACATTGGAGTTATGATTGATGATAAGCTGAATTTCTCAGACCACATTGCTAAAACTGCCCGGTCCTGCAGATTTGCTTTATACAACATTAGGAAGATCAGGCCCTTTCTTTCAGAACATGCAACACAACTCCTTGTTCAAGCTCTTGTTCTATCCAGGCTGGACTATTGCAATGCTCTTGGCAGGTCTTTCAGCCACTTCTATCAAACTTTATAATTAATCCAGAACACGGCAGCAATATTAATTTTTAATGAAACAAAAAGAATGCACGTCATACCTCTGTTTATCAATTTGCACTGGCTAGCCAGTAGCTGCTCGCATTAAATTCAAAGCATTAATGTTTGCCTACAAACCCACCACTGGCTCTGCACCCATTTACCTAAATTCATTACTTCAGAGTTATGTGCCCTCTAGAAGCTTGTGTTCTGCAAGTGAACGTCGCTTTATCGTGCCATCCCAAAGAGGCACAAAATCACTTTCACAGACTCTTACATTATTAACTGTTCCCTCCTGGTGGAATGACCTGCCCAACTCAATCCGAGCAGTCCTTAGCCATCTTCAAGAAACAGCTAAAAACACATCTGTTCCATCTACACTTGACCCTTTAACACTAACACTCTCTATTCTGTTTATATCTTCTCTACTTGTTTTCTTTTTATTTATATAAAAAACATGACCCTCTAACACTTGCAATTTCTATTCTATTTCTATTCTACTACTTGTTTTTATTTACTGGAGTACAGCAGCTCTCACTCCGGACTCTGGAGGATACATGAAGGTAAGATCACAACACAAACAACTTGAGCTTCCTTCATGAGCCATTATATTCTGCACCAGTTATTTCACAAATATTCACAGATTCAGTCCTCATCACTGGCTGAGTCTCTTTTATGTTATGTACATAATTAATGTCTCTGACATAATTCTGTCGCTGTTTCATGGCACTAGACACAATTAAAGAGAGAAGCAGTTCCTCACACAACTGTAAATGTTTAATGTTAGACACAGTTATTAAATCTGTTGCATAAAATAACAGTTTTCCATTTCATTGTAATAGTTCGAGATAACCAAGAAAACTGATTCGCAGGCAACTGTGTGAAGCGTGATGGGTGTTTGCAGCTTATGACTGGTGTTTCAATGTGACCCACAGGACAGAATGGCAGTTATCACGACATCTCGTTCTACACGGACACCTCCGACCACACCGAGCAGGAGAAGCACCTTTTGAGTGAGTCTCTGAAAGCTATCTACACATTAGCCACAATCAGAGAATGACACTGGAAATAGGCTTGTTATGTACAGTGTATTCTCGCTCTCTTTAAGAGCTGTATTCTCTGCACGACATCCATCCTGATCCATCATTGGCCACCTTTATTATAAGAGAGACTGCACAATTATCAAAGCTCATGGCCTTTGATTAGTAGTCATATGGTGTGCTATATTGACAAAAAGATGATATCTCGATATTTTCCAGGATTTTGTCGATAGCGTAAATTACAAGCTACTTTGCTGAGTGTGATTGTGTGCCAGTACGTTTGCTGATTTAGGCCTGTTGTGGACAGATGTCTCCCAAAGCTTTTCATATCTTCATATTCCGTGCGGTAGTTAGTTCACAGCAGTGATAGAGACTTTTCTATCGCAGCAGGTTACACTAAGCATGTAATAAAGACCTGTTTGTGTCTCTGCAGAGTTGCACAGGGTCATCGTGGTCCTGCTGCCTCTCAGTCTGGTGCTGCTGGTCTTTGGTGGGATCTTCGGTCTGGTGGCATCTTTGGCTCAGAGCTGCACTCTTCTCACCTGCATCGCTGCATACTTCCTCATCTGCAGTGAGTGCCATTAACAGCTACACGGCATTCATTTGCCATCTACACACATCAAATGAAGTGAGCTCTCAGCAGTGCTGTCGCTAGAGTTTGTGTTGTTGTGTATAGGTCAGTGAGAGATGCGTTCAGTGGCTCATGTCACACGTGGATATAAAACAAGTAATAACAAATGTCACACGTGGATATAAAACACAATGGGAAAGAAAGAAAACAGAAAATGTCAGGCGCTCCAGCTGAGTGCAGCTGTTAGGTGAACTGGTCACACACAGTGAGGGGTTTTAATAGATATAGATTTTTTTTTGAATACTTTATTTATAGGCATTTCTATTAACAGGGGGAAAAAATCGAATAATAAAAATCGCAACAAAAAAGAAACACAATTCCCCCATTTCACTCTTTGTGCGGTTTTAACAGCAGAAACAAATAGCTAACAGTTCAAAGACAACGGACACTATCTACAAAACAACGAACAAATGTGTAGCAGCAACGTACATATGTAGGGTAGATATGGAGGTTTTTAGCTCAATAATCCACAAAGCCTGCAGTAATGAATGGCAAAAATATTGAACAGATTTATTTGATGTGTTTAATGTGTTTAGGGGATTTATTTTATAATCTAGATCCAAAGTATGTTCTAGGCACAAAAAAAAACAAAAAACAAAGCAGTGTAATGATCTAGCGTAGCGTTACTTCTGGCAGCTTACATTAGTCAAGCTCGCATCAGCTGACTCTCAACTGATCCCTATCTACCTATAGGAATACGACACTTATCTAAGCATTCATATATATAAGGTCCCTCAATATCAACAGTTTTCGCATTGCTCAATAATTAATTACCCTCCTCCATCCCCAACTCCTCCTCTGTCAGTCAGGATTCAGCCTTCTGATTCTCCTTTGAATCAGACTAATTCTAAAATGTGTACATAACATTATTGAACTTTAACGATATCTGCAATACATTTATGTTGGTTCTGTTCTGTTTATCCTGCTCGGCTGCATGGATGCGCAGGGTGTTCTTGCCCAGAGCAGAACCATACCGCCAATCCAAACTGTATGCTAATTGTCAATCATCTTTGATGATAGTGGTCCTGACAGAATTAACCGTATTCATACCAAATGTTTTATTTATTTGTACTTTTTTGGGGGGTACAGGTCTTTTGGTTTGACATGCATACTGAACAAATGCAGCGTTGTTTTAACCACTGCAAGTGTGGAACTTTTGTGTGTGCAGAAAAACTGTTTTATGGACAAAACAGTTTATATTAATATACTTTGATGTTAGGAGTGCATCTGAAAATGAATAGACACAGAAAAGTGCACAATCCAAGTCTTGAATATGAGAAATACTAAGTGCTTTGATATTAATCACAAAACCTGCACAACTTTCACAGTGTGTTGTTTATTTGCATTTAGACGTTTTCCTCAACAGAGCGTCTAGCTTATAGTTTTGTCCTGATCTGGAATGTTAAAAATTCAGACAAATAGATGTATAAAGGCTCATCCTGCCAACCACTGAGTCTCTATTAAACTTCACAGACTTGAATGAAGGAGTGCAGACATCAAACAGGAGCCAATTATTCTCACTAAAATGTACATTTTTCTAAAATAATTTGCATTCATATAAAAAAGCACCTTCAACTGCAGTACAAAGACTGCTCTGCATCATTTTCCTTGCTTTGCACTGCTTGCTTCCAAAGAAATGTTCATGTACAGTGTATGATTATATAAACATTGTTAAGGTACTTCTGTTACTGTTACAGTTTCAAATATACAATTTCTACTGTTTGATATCTCAAAAGCATATGGACAAATTTTACAGAAGTAGTAGTAAAACAGTGTGTCAGTGTTCAAGATGGACATTGCATGGTTGACTCTGGACTGGAATCTGAATAAAGCAAAAGTAGGGCTCAGATGTTCAGGACACGGTGGCCGAGACACCAACAATGAATCAGCCTCATTTGCTGTCACCTTTGCAATCAAAGGCAATAAAGCGCTTAAAAATAGTAGTTTTGCACTACTGTATACCTCTGCTGATTACTATAGAGATACTATTCATTACAATGAACATCAAATTCAAAAGCTACAATTTGATGATTTGTTTTCAGCATTATTCATGGCATTCAGTCTGTGGTTTACTTGCATATCTGTAATCAGCAGATTTTGCTCCTGTGTCTGTAAAGGTGTTAAAGAACATCAGCATTTGATTCTGTCTTGAATGACACATAATTAATTCACACCCTCATCACACTTTGTCATTATTTCTTCTCATCACAATAACAGAAATCATGAGATTATCACTGGATGTGTGCTACAATATTTCGGATGAGTTATTGAAGAAAACATCAAAATATAAGTGGGAATGACATACAGGCTTTTTTGTGAGTAGACATCGAATTCTTCATGGCAAAGACAAAAGGGATCATCCAGATTTGTATCAGTGACAGGTGCAAAAGCTTCATCTGCCATGGTATAAGTACATCAGGGCCCACGGCATGGGTGACTAGCATACGTGTGAAGGTACCATTGAGTCTGAGGCATATAGTGGGATTGTACAGAGACATACTGCGATGAAACTGACGTCTTTTCCTGAGAAGTCCGTGATTAGAGTGAGACAATGCCAAGTCTCTTTCTGCATGTGCTAGCATGTGCTTGAATGGTCTGCCTGCAGTCCAGATCTGTCTCCTATTGAAAATGTGTGGTGAGTCATGAAGAGGAGAATAAGACATTGATAACCAAGAACTGTTGAGCAGCTGGAGTCTTGTTTCTTGCAAGACTGGGCAAAAATTACACTTGCACACCAGCAGAAATTAGTCCCTTCGGTTCAGGAATGATTAAAAAGTGTAATTAAAAGGAAAGTTGATATAAAATAGTTGCAACCATGTCTCTGTCCCAACTTTTTTGAAGTGTGTTGCAGCCATCAAAATCAATTTGTTTTAATTTACTAAATACAAATACAATTAAGGCCAGTGAAAACAGGAGTTCTATAATTTGAAATTTTAGCTTATTTACTGACTCTATTCATATCCTTTCCTCTATTAATGACTGTGCTGAATGTAGCACGTCTGGTTAATAATTTGTTATTCTCTATTTTTGTCATGATTGCATTAAGGTTTATTAATTACAATACAGTGAGTTATCTATTTCTATAGTTTATCATAAGAGGAAAAAAATACAAAAAACTTTTATATTTCATTCTCTGCAGATGCAGTTTTTGGTCTTTACTGTGTAAATTACTGTCAATTATTCATCACCAAATTTAGGTAAGATCTTCATCCAACCCAAAAGTTATCAAAATGAATTGTTATCAAATGAATTGTTGACATGCAAAAACATTTTCCATGCTGAAAACATTGCCTGTGAAGCCGCCAAAGATATCATACTGTATGTTCGCAGAGCTTTATTTCCTTGCTGAAATTCAACTCAGTAAATAAGTTACTAATATCATTATACTAGGACAGGAAGCACATTCAAAAATGTGACAAAATGGCTAAATGTGCTCTGTATCCATCTGTCATCTGATGCTTTCTCTGACAGGCACAGAAGCAAACCCCACATCAGCGCATTTTTTCTTTACCGTCTTGAAAAAGCAATGCATTGTTTGAAAAAATGACTGATGTTTAATTGCAGAGCAGCAGGAAAACCTCTCTTCTGTCCTTTCTGTCGTGTATCATGAGTGATCGTGAAAGGTCAGGGCTCCTCTGAGCTTCATGTAAGTGGGTTCATTACAGCAATAATGGCTGAGTTCATGACGGTTCCTTCAAGCAGGTCTCAAGGAAAGCACAGATCTTCTCTTACTACGATGGTGATTATGAGCTTTCCTATTAATACTCCCACCACTAACCTGTGTGACTGTCATATTCTGTGCTTGTGCACTGCTGAGTTTCATTCTAAAGAAAAGACTCATTTGCTTCTATAGGATTTTGCCATAATGCATTTACTGTGTAGAACATGATGAATCAAGCCATTACAGCTTTCACGTGGAGGCTGTACAAACTCCTGATGTGCCACAGAGCACCACTCACATAGTTTTTCATTAAATTACATCATATTTGTTCCAAATTGTTGTTAATGTACATAATGGCTTCACCTAGGCTGGAAGATTATGCAATTTTCAGTAGTACTTTTGTCTTTTTGTGGCTGGAATGACGTCTATGCTTCATACAGAGAGAAACTATATTATAGACTGCACTTTTTCTTTCCATTTGCTCTGTTTTGTAAAAACACCTGAACTTGAGAATGCAAAGTACGAAATGGCATGCCCGGTATGCGGTAAGGTTTTTAAAGGTTTCAAAAAGTCATACAGTGCATAGTAGTATTTACACATTAGGAATACAAAAGAATCTCAGAAATAAAAGTATGAAAGCTGCACTGTATGTACAAAAGAAAAAAAATGCCAGGAACTTACAGGATTAAAGAGTATTATTTTACAATAAATTACTGTAGTCAGAGATTTATTGTGAAATCAATGCATGCTGGGTCATTTTCTTACAAATGACTGTGAATGAACAGCAGAAGTGTCAGGGTTTTGCCCTGACACTCTGTTGGTCTTGTGTTTTGTTTCTTGTGTCTATGTTGTCTTGTCAGCACATGGCCTAGTTGATTGTTTTTCTCAGCCATGTGCTTTAGCCCCTCCTCCTGGTTTCCTCATTACCACACCCTCTTGTTAGCCCTCATTGAGTCCTTGTTAGTGTCATTGCTCTCACCTGTTCCTCGTGTGTTTTCCTCCCTATTTATAGTGCCCCTTGCCGTATTATCTTTGCTGGTTTGTGGTCATTCTTTCTCTCTCCGTCTCTGTGGATGATTATGGGTTCCTGTCTTCTTGATCGTGTGCTCTAGTCTTGTCTCTTGTAATTCTATGTTCTTGTCTTGCTCCTTGTTTTTGGATTGGGTCTGTTTTTGTCTTTTTGCTTTTATTTTAGTATTAACTTAGTTCTCTTAGTCCTGATCTTTTATTGGTTGATATTTTAGTTATTCGGTTTGGATAAAATATATATATATATTTTTTTTTAATAAAAATACACTAGTCATTTTTTGTTTTCTCTTGCCTGTCTTGGAGTAATTTGTGTTCCTGTGGAGCTATGTTTTGTCTTGTTGTGGTGTTCCTGTCCTGACCTGTTCCTGTCCACTGGTTCCCTTGCCTGGTGTCTGGGGTGCTTCAGAGTTATGGTCAATAAGTATCTGAGCTCAGCTCTCTAGTGCCTTGCTCTGGTATCTCCACCGGCCTGGTCTTGCCACCACCTCTGCTGCTATAGTATTCTGCCAGTTGATGTCTGAGGCTGTTCCAGTGGCCTTCCCTAGCTATCTCTGTTTTCTGTGTTCCTGTTGTGGTATCACCTGTGCACCTCACTACCCTTTTGTATTGATCTGTTTTGTCAATAAACCCTTATTACTCACACTGCAGTTGGGTCCTCCTTCCAGATCCCTGACACAGAAGGACGCTAACATCACATTAATTTACTGCTCTTGTTTTACTGTGATACAACTGATAAAGTTGTCTTTAACTGTGCCACTGTGAGAAATTTAGCTGATTACTACTGTAATGGTTTTGAAGTGATCGGTAATTGTTTGGGATATTTGGATCTTTCACAATATTAAAGCAGCTGCTGAGATACATCTTTAAAGTCCCCATGAAATCAAAAAATTTTTTTTGGGTGTTAATATCAATATGTTAGTCTTAAGGCAGTGTGCTCCAAAACAGTGACAAAATTTGCATTTAGAAGATATAAGCATTCAAAGCTTGCAGTTTGTCACTTCCGCCAAAATGGCTCAACAAATTTTTTGACGTCACATCGTACTTCAGCTTCTCATCAAACTTTGTCCAATCAAATGCTCTCTAGACTCTGAAGTGCCCGCCCCCTACACTATAAAATAGACGCTGAAGCCGCGGCTGAAATCGGTCACTTGTCCACAGAATTAGTATGTTCTGTACCGTGAATGGCACGTAGTGCACTATCTAGGGGACAGGGAATGATTCAAATAGTGTAAATATGCTTTCCATTGAGGAAAAAAAGAAGTCTGGTTTTGCGCTGTCACGCTAACCACCGCACCTCACACACACTCTGCTCCGGTCCAGAGACACGATAGCATGGAGCGGATCAAATGCGCTAGTCGGCGCAGACCACAAAATGTATCGGAGCTATTTAAATTCTACACAGAATGCCATATTTTATAGCAATATGGATGAGATTGTGGCTGGCATACCCTGTCAAATGCGGCTTTACGGAACTCAACGGCCCTAGCCCAAGCTGTGATATAAACGAACGCTATTGGCTATTTTAAAAAGGGGCGGGGCTGCTTGATATGTCCCGCCTTGTCTTCCTGTTTCAGTTAAAATGACGTCAACACAGAGTAACGCTGCGTGTTTCTAAGCATTTCAGGGGACCTTTAAAAGATTTGGCATCAATACTCAACATACAAAACACAACAATGGTAACACTCAACAAATAAAAACAACACTTACAACATAAACCAATATAACAAAATAAACAAACAATACAAACGGCTAAAAGTGAACCAAAAACAAGTTCAACAAGAATTAAAAAAACATGATCTTTTCATGCTGCACTGCATGCTGGGTGCCTTCGTAGTACATATGCACTGTGATGATGTTTGTTTACAGTATTTTTTTCCCAATAAGGTACACTCACAGTAAAGCCAAGCTTATTTTTTAAAGGACAATGTAAAAACATGCTATTAAAGTACTTTAGATTTTACAAGAAGTTTCTGAGAGTGCAGTTAGAAACAAATTGTCACGCTACGGTGAGATAAACGCACAAAGATGAAGATAAATGCAAATAGTCTTTAATAAATCCACACAAGGATAAACCCAGGACAGAACAGGAAGGAGACACACGTAGGGACGTAGTAGACCAGACACCAAACAGTGAAATTAACACAACTAAAATAGAGGTGGTAACGAGGGACAGACAGGTGAGGAGGATCAACTAATGAGGTCACAGGTGAACTGACTAACATGATCAAACATGGGGAAAAACTGGGTCACACTGAGCACATGGGGAATGAAAACATAACAAAAACAGTCCAGGGGTGTGACATAAGGGAAGTCCCACTCTGAAATTACTGTGAAAGAAATGCAATTATTAAACTGAAATATGCTGTAATTTTACACAATTTTTTTTAACAGTGTGTCACTGGGGCAGTACGTTTTCAAAATGTACACCTTTGTGTACACCTAAAGAGTCCATATTGGTACCTTAAAGGTACATATTAATATGGCACAAAAGTGAACCTTTCGAAAAGGTACTGCGGCATTCTTTTAAAAATGAGCAGTTTTATCAGGCTCTTATGTGTAGGTTCAGTAATTTCACTCTAATGACAATGAATAGGTTATTTTCTAGAATGTTGTGGAAAAGTTCATTTATTTCAGTAATTCAACTGTGGTTCAGGAGTGGCTTAACAAATGGCATATTTTGAGTTGAATTACTGAAATAAATGAACTTTTCCACGACATTCTAATTTATTGAGATGCACCTGTATGTACAGTATATGAAGAGTTCAGATGCATAAATCATATGCATATGTATAATCCTCTAAGTGCCATTTGAAATTTGGTAACACTTTAGAATAGGGAACACTTATTCACTATTAACTACGACTTTTTCTTTAATAAATTCCTAATTGGCTGCTTCTTAATGGTTAGTAAGGTAGTTGTTAAGTTTAGATATTGGGTAGAATTAGAGATGTAGAATAAGGCATTAATATGTGCTTAATTAGTACTAATAAATGGCTAATATTCTAGTAATATGCATGCTAATAAGCAACTAGTTAAGAGATCCTAAAATAAAGTGTTACCGAAATTTTCTTTTAAAATGAGCAGTTTTATCAGGCTCTTATGTGTAGGTTCAGTAATTTCACTCTAATGACAATGAATAGGTTATTTTCTTTGCCATTAAAGTGACATAACTGAACATATAACTGAACATAATGCTTTTAGAAGAAAATTTCAGACGGCACTTAGAGGCTTTTGCACCTGAACATGTATATATCGAACATTGATCTGGATTTTAGCACACACACACAGATCAAATCTGTGCCTATTTATACGTTTTCATAAATGAAGTCACTGGTCTTATCCAAGCTGGTTAGGCAAATTTGTAGTGATAGGTTTAGTGGGGTTTTGAGCAGTCGTCATGTGGTCGGGCTTAGAGACTAGCTGGCTTCCCCACTAAACTGTCTAAAAACCAGCTTGGTCATGTTAGTAAACTGGCTTAAAGGGACAGTTCACCCAAAAATGAAAATTCTGTCACCATTTATTTACCCCCAAGCCGTGTCACACCTGTAAGAGTTTCTTTCTTCTGTGGAACACAATTCAAGATATGTTGAAGAATGCTGATAACCAAACACTTGCTGGTAGAAATATCCATAGTATTTCCCCCCCTATACTATACCACAGGTTTGGAACACTTTGAGGGTGAGTAAATGATGACAGAATTTTCATTTTTTGTGTGAACTATCCCTTTAAGACTACAGTTGTTAACAACCATATCTTGGTTTAAGCTTGCTTCAGCAGGTTGGAATACAGCATTCTATGTTTTTATGAGAACATTTTTATATGTGGCCATGGACCACAAACCCAGTAATAAGGGTCAATTTTTTGAAATTGAGATTTATGCATCATCTGAAAGCTTTCCATTGATGTATGGTTTGTTAGGATTGCACAACATTTGGCTGAGATACAACTATTTGAAAATCTAGAATCTAAGGGTGCAAAAAAATCACAATATTGAGAAAATCGCCTTTAAAGTTGTCCAAATGAAGTTCTTAGCAATGTATATTACTAATCAAAAATTAAGTTTTGATATGTTTATGGTAGAAAATTTACAAAATATCTTCATGGAACATAATCTTTACTTAATATTCAAAGGATTTTTGGCATCAAATCTGTAATTTTGACCCATACAATGTAATGTTGGCTATTGCTACAAATATACCCTTGCTGCTGGTCTGCTAGTCTGTTTCTGTCTGGTTGTTTAGTGAGTGAATGGAGTGTAATGACGTCTCTTTGTCCACAGGTCTGTTGACGGTGTCCGGTGTAAGCATCTATATCAGTTACTCTCAGCAGGCTTTGGAGGAGCTGCAGCACATGGTGGATATTGAGTCACTGTCTCACGTCCACATGTCCTTCGGCTGGTCTCTGGTCATGGCCTGTCTGTCCTTCTGCCTGGAGCTGCTGACGGGGATCCTGCTCATGCTAGCGACCCGTTTCATCCACCGTCAGTGCCACCACGAGCCTGCCGCAGTGCTCTCCATGAGCCAGAGCTCACCACAGCTTCTGAGACTGCAGTGATGATGATCATCATTTTATCTACAGCCTTATCAAGAAATGAGTTTGTGCTGCGTCAAGGTAAAAATGGAGAGTGGGTGGCAAATGAGACAGCTGCATCAATTATTGAATGAGAGTGCTCAGTCGAGGTCTGCCAAATTTGTCTGCATCACTCGAGTGTGTCAGTGCAATCATATGTTTTCCTCAAGGCTTCTAGAAACACATTTTCCAGAGCTAACTGATGTCATGTGTCATGCATTTACTGTATACTCTTAAAAAATAAAGGTTCCAAAAAGGTGTTTTTGCAGCGACGCCATTGAAGAACCATGTTTGGTTCCCCAAAGAACCTTTCAGTGAACAGTTCCTAAAAGAACCATTTTGAAGAACATTTAAAAAATCTAAAGAAACTTTTTCGACCATAAAGAGCATTTTCTGCATTTGAAAGGTTCCATGGATGTTCAAGGTTCTTCATAGAACCATTGATGCCAATAAAGAACCTTTATTTCTAAGAGTGTAACATGATGAATCAAGCCTTTGCAGCATCTCTAGGCACACATTTTGTAGCATAGTGTTTTTTTTTCTGTCAATGAATGAACAAACAATTTTGGTAGAAGTTTGTGTTTTTGCTTATTACAACCAGCCAAGACCACTAACCTGTTTTAAATTACAGTGTAAAAAGTTTTACTTGTGACCACACTTTTACATTTTATAGGAATTGTAATACAAATCTGCTTAAAGGTTTAGTTCACCCAAAAATGAAAATTGGGCTGCATTTTACTCACCCCCGATGCATCCTAGGTGTATATGTCTTTCTTCTTTCAGATGAATCCAGTCGGAGTTATATAAAAAATTGTCTTTGATCTTTCAAGCTGTTTCAAACTGCGAATCGATGCGTTTTTGTAAGCAAAATATCCATATTCAAAATGTAATAATCACTTGAATCTAGCTTGCGCTCACTGTTGTAACCAGAAGTAGTTCCGGGCGGATGACGTATGAGGTCGGCTTTGCGCATGCGCCGCTCAGAAGTGACGCATGCGGAAAAAATGCAGCAGAGAGATCAAAACAAAACAACGGTCCAGAATTAGAAGTACAAAACGAGGATTTGTAAAGAAGAATGTCAGAGGATTTCGATATAAGCCAAGAGGAGACTGGTTTTCCTTTGCTAAAGTAAGGAAACTTTGCTTTCTTTGCTCCTGTAAACAAACGTTGGTTTTCACGAGACTCACCGGCACATGCGCAACGCTGACCTCATACGTCATCCGCCCGGAACTGCTTCCAGTTTATAACAGTGAGTGCAAGCTAGATTAAAGTGATTATTACGTTTTGAATATCGATATTTTTCTTACAAAAACGCATTGATTCGCTACAGAAGGCCTGGAGCCGTGTGAGACACTTTTTTATGGATGGGCGATTTTTATTTAACTTTTTTTGGACTGAAGCAATGCAACACCCGCTGAGTGCCATGAAACAGCTTGAAAGATCAAAGACAATTTTTAATATAACTCCGACTGGATTCGTCTGAACGAAGACAGTCATATACACCTAGGATGCCTCGGGGGTGAGTAAAACACAGCCTAATTTTCATTTTTGGGTGAACTAACCCTTTAAATACTTAATTTACACATAAAAATGTTCATACTGATATTTAGTATGTTTAGTTGCAGTATAAATGCTTAATAGAAAACTGTTCTGTTGTAAAACTGTCATATAACTAACAGTAACAGTCATTTAATTTACCATCTACTGTATAAGTCATGTTGAAGTACCATAATAAACATTACTGATGCCCACCAATTTTCCCTTCATGTTGTATATCTCATTTCATATTTTTTTTATGATTTTTACTGTCTGAACATTACGACGCAAACTCATTCATAAAGGCACTTTGCAAGCCATAGAAAAATTGTAAATGAAGCTAGTTATAACTGTGTTTTTATTTGTGGTAATTACATTTATCTCCCTAAGGCTCACGTTTCATTAAATGTCCAAGACGCACCATGTGAGCTCAATTCAAAAATCAATTTGTCACTAATTAACCAATCTATTTAGGAAAACAATTTAAGAAATGCGTCATAGGAACAGAGTGGGCTGTTTTCGCTCAGAAATAGTTCATTCCAATTTCCAGAAAGAAGTCTTCTCTGAAGACAGCCAGTCAGTCCAGAATGTAATATGCTGCATTATTTTCAGGGAAATATGGCTGTGTTATAATGTTAAATTGCAGAGCCCATATAGGAATAGTGACTGGGTGGCTGTAAATCTCTGATTGCTGCATTAGAGACCAAAATAGCTGCAATAAAGACAGCATTAAATGTCAGACCAATTCTGTTAAGGGTGAAAAATGGTCTGGTGATAAATGGAGTGAGGAATGTGACTGGGTGCAGTTTTAAAGTTTCTCTTAATCACCTACACTCTAAAATCAATTATATGAACAAACAGTCTAAATAAATCAATCAATTTTTTATGATTTTCTAAAAACATGACAAAAGAGCCCAAAAGATAATTGTAAATGCATTTGGAGGTGATCTATGATGAGTTTTGACCACATTTAATGAATTTTTTAATTAAAATGTGTTCAGCAGTACAAGAAACATGCAATGTCACATTTCAAAAAACCATTTACGTTACTTTGATAGTGTCACTAAAGAATTGTGTTGCGGGTTCTTGTCTTTTTCTCTTTCTTAGGCTCTCACAATGTGAAAAATACAACAGACATTGTGTTCTTGCTCTCGTGGGTTAATGAAAAATAACTGATTATTCATCAAATTATTTTACTGGATTAAACTTGGAGTTTACAGTACTTTCTCTTACTTGTCCAACTGAACAGAATATGGAAATGTTTCAGTACATACTCTTATATAATATGTAAGTGGCGATTATCATTTTGTGTGGGAAAGGCAGGTGCACATTGTACAATTTATAATAGTTATTTGCAACTGTTGCTTGTCAGACTGTATGAACATGATCCCAGCAATAAGCTATTGCAGACTGTAGGATCTTAGTTGTCGGACTGCACGAAAAGTTATGCGTTTCAATTGAAATGGCAGCTAGCATTTCAACACAATTGAACTATGGGGGGACCATGCTACTGATGGTTCTCGATATGATGGTCGTCGTAGGAAAAGCCTACAGATTTCTTGATTGCTTAGAAAAGTAGTAGTACCTCTCCTCAACAAGCCACATGATTTGAGAAATCATTAATGTTCAGAACTGGAGTGGATGAGTTATGGCAAAGCTCCTTTCATGGCAAGTCAATCCACTCAGCACTTCTTACAGCAGCTCCATCAAACTGCAAGAACTGAAGACAAAGAAAGAGATGACTGCTTATTGATGATGGGCTCTTTTATTTGCAAGGTGCTTCGGGTGCTTTGGCTCTTTTAATTTTGAGTGCTTCTCAATACTCAAATTAAGGAATGCTCATTTCTAACGTTTTTTTTGTGTGTGTTTTTTAAATAACCAGAAACATAAGTACAGTTTCTTTGAGCACAGATGGTAACACTTTGAAGTGACTCACGAGTGATCAACAATTTTCCATTTTTGTATTATACACTGTTTGTGATTAGTGGTGGTTCACCAATAACAAAAAAGTGTAAATACAATCATATTTTTCCTGTTGCTTTAAAATATATAACCACCTGTTGATGGATTCTTACAATCATTTAATCATTCACACATACAGGATCAAAGTCATCTATCTTTTCTGCTGTGTTGTTCTTCACTATCCTCTGTGTTGCTGCTTGGACTGACTGTGTTTTCTATTTCCGAACTGAAGGTTCCTAATATCAGGTACATTATGTAGGTAGGTTTTCATCTTCAACCTTGAATGCCTTTCATTATATTTATCATTTGAACCTCGCAAACGAAAATATGGCCACATTAAATGATGTGCAAGTTGTATTTTTATCCTGCAGAATGTAGCGGCTCCTAAATAACTCTTACAGATTGAAATCCAGTCATCAAAAAGTAATATGAAGGTATGAAGAGAGGTGTGAAGATTAGTATTTCCATTCTAGTCTTTCACATATAAGTGTCATTTGAGATTTTCACAGCACTCCAGATAAAATCCCATCTAATAAATCTTGTAATGACAGTGGCAGACCTCAATTTGAAGATGAAGTCAAGTGGGGAATCGAACATATCTATCACTGTTTTATTCATATGGTATCTCATCTTGGTCTACTTATGCTCTCTAAAACTGGCTGAACATGCTCAAAATCTTCTGACTTTTATCTCATCAATATTCGAACCCAATTTGACTTGAATCATTAATGCTAAGGCATATTGGTCTTCTTCTAAACTTCCTTGTGACCTGTTAATTAAAGTGTTGGTGTTGAAGTTGAAGAGCACAGTGTGTGTGGACTGTGGATTAAAGGATTGTGGATGGAGAGCCGGAGGCAGATTTGAGGACTGAGGAGTCAAGATGTGCTGTAAGAAATCCTCCTCCACTTTGACGAGAGCAGACTTCCCATTCATTTTGCTGTTGATGTGAAAGGTTGTGCATCCAATCAGCCTCTACCACATTTTGCAACAAATGTCACCTGCCTCTTCATAATAATGCAACTTTTGGCCTAGTGTTAATAAATGCGTTTGATTCAGAGTTTTTTTTGTGTGTAATAGTTTAGGTACTGTGCTGAATTTGCCACCTTTTGTCCAATGTAAGGTCTGGGTCCTGGATTAAAATCATTGGGAATCAATGTCTCATAAGAGGTGACTGAGTGATGAGATTCAGAGCTAATTATCATATCTTCAGACACACATGTGGTTCATTCAAATGCTGCTCTCATCTGGAGTTCATAATTTGGCTAAATTGCCCTTTGAGAGGGAAACGCCAGATGGCACCACTGTCACTGAATATTGACTGTTACGGAGAGAGCTGATGATGGCAGCATGCCAAAGGCATTTTCAGGTCAACAGGAATCATAAAGTTACTTTCTTAATGCATGTTAATGATCTTATTGTCTCATCAGTGCACATAATTCCAAAGGAAATAATTGTCTTCCTCAATACAAACTGTAACTTGGTTTTGA